AGCCCAAAGCCGGGGTGTTATAGCATGAAAAAACATCGACATCCCCGCCACTCAAGTGGTCGAATATTGGAACACTGTGTCCACCAGTCTGAAAGTAAAACTTTTCATTTGCTTTCTTTCCCAATATGTGTTATGTTATGTTTGCAGTCCCCTAGTTGAAAAAAAAAATGTTTATGCAGCAAATGGTTTGAGGCCCGGAACATGCTACTTAGAGGAGAGCTTTAAAAAACAAAGCCATTATCACGGGAATTCCACGAAAAGCCATGAAACAGACGTCTAAGCCAAGGCTCTTATACCAGGTGCGGTCATCCAGCCATTTGACCGTTAAGTCACGTGGTGCGCAGACGTCATCGATTGTCCGCAATGCTGTTTTCAGAGCTGCGCCATGAGGTGCGCTAGAGCCGCCTGATTGGACAATAGTTGATGACGTCAATGGATTAAGTGGCCCTATGGCTGCCGAAAGGAGGTCAGGGGGTCAAAACGTTAAAACATAGCATTCGACTCTCCCGTGCGGTCTTTATAGCATGGCGGCACTTGTCCAAGACGCTTTGGCTTTGGGATATATTTTTTACTCAGATGGTCAGTTCAGTGCAAGGCCGTGTTTACAAAGCAGGTGTGTAACAGCGACATGTCATGTGGCCTAATGACGCACAAGTCTAATTTCAAACAAGGCACTTCTGGTTAAACGGAATGTTCCACATTTGAATACATTGAAGACGATGATGCGTTGAAATCTGACACGACACCAGCTACGATGAAAAGGCTCACTTATAGCTATTGATATACCTCTAAGATGAAAAGATCCTTCCAAGCAACACAATTTCCCTATTAAGTAAATATGCTCCAAACACATCATTGTTTGATTGCGTCATCGCGCCGTGTACGACATTACTTCAGAGCCGACTGACGCCCGTTAGGTAAGGAAATCGTGCTCACGAACGCCAGACATGAACGATTCGACAACTAAATCTTGATTGGCCTTGATCGTTGCATGGGCAATGGAATGACAGGACCTGAAGGACATTATCATCGTGTCACGGATGCCTGCGTAGCCTTCAAATAGTATCCCCGGAATATTCTGCAGATCTTCTCGGGCGTGGAGCCCAGGATCTGAGGAGGTGTAGGTCTTGAGAAGGACAGGGCTCCGAACTGTGCCGAATGGCCTTGAAGATGGTTATTTTAGTTCAAAACCCCATTTAAATGTTGAACACTCCCTCTAAAAGGAGTGTTCCATAACAAGACTCCAGCAATCCCTTTAAACTTTATGCGGTTCGACCTTTGTAAGGGGGTTTTGAACTGAACCAGCCATCTTGAAGACCATTCGGTGAAATTCACGGCTCTGCCCTCATTAAGGTATAAAACCCCCTCGTTTCTGAGCTGCACGCCTGTTAAAATGAGCAGACTTTCTTGTGCAGGCTATTTCAATGCTACCACTCCACCAAATCTTGTCATGCTACTGTTCATGCGGCGTTCAAGGTCAAGACAAATGTATTTGTCGAGTTGTTCATATCTGGCGTTTGTGAGCACGGTTGAACAATAGCCTGGCAGTCAATTGGCCCTCAACCAATGTTGTGCAAGGTATGCAAGGCTCGGACACGACTTACATTTATGCTACACAATACAAGAAGTTATACATCCTTCCTACTTTTTGCGAAGTTCAGACTTGTAATCGAATAACTCAAGAACAGCGTTGCAGCCGAGTATTTGAATGCAGGTAAGCGCCTTAATATAACGGATAAATATGCAAAACCACCACGAGAAAAAGATTAGAGAACTACAAGTGAGCGTTCTCCTACAATCGTTTCATGACGCAATCAAACAATGACGCATTGAGAAGAACATTTGCTGAAGAGAGAAATCGTGTTGTCTAGAGCAGTCTTTCCCCTTTAAATGTATATCAAAAGTTATAAGTGAGCGTACACCATCATGTCTAATGCTTGCTTCAGTATCTTCACATGAGGAACATTTCATTTCAATGGTTGGTGGTGCCGACTGTGTCAATCACAAAGGTTCTCAGCTCACAACTTTCAAAGTTCTTCGGACTTTGTTCCTGGTCGGAAATAGTGAAGTCTGTTGTGACCACCACACTTAATAGGAACCAAGATTCCGATTGTGTTTACATGCTATTTTTATCTTAATTGTGTCAGTTTGTACGCAATTTCTCTTAGCGAGATCGACATGAGGCCCCTGCGTACATTCTCGAAAGCTATGAAAAATTATGTCACTTATGTCAAAAATCTTGTTTGCGCTAAGACCGCCCATTCCACAAAATCTTCTACGGGTTTACAACGAAAAAGAAATATAGGGGTGTGCTAGAGCGTTGTCTGTAATATTCACTCGAATACAACTGGAATGCGGGTCTTTATTATATTTGGTTGGTGCTGCAGTGCCATTCTCCAATGTCACTATCAGGCCTGACCGGTCCTGAGGTTTGAGAAGAAAAAAAAACTTTTGAAATATGCCCCAAAGGTGACATATTCCTTTACGTCGGCGTTCTATCACGGACAAGTGTCATGCAAATTGTGCCAGAGTTAAAGTCTGAGAAATGAATCCACTATCATGGCTTACGATCACCACTGGCATGCAAGCCTTCACGTTATTTAAGCAAGTTTATGCTTAAATTTTGGAAATACGCTATAGGAAACATGTTCCTGATGTTCGTTCCCAAATTGTGAGCATTTGCCTGAATTATGAATAAACGTGTATCAGTATTGCACCATCTTTGTTTTATTTGTATTAAGGACTTCAATTACAGCTCCTGTCATGATATGTCTTCATTAAGTATGTACCTCCTTTTTACCTTTCCATTGTCCCCCCAATCCTGATGGAAGTGAAGGAGAAAAATGAATGATACGTTAGAGAAAACAAACGAAGCAAGAAAGTTATGAACAGACATTACAAATGATGATGCGGACCACCAGCATTAACAGTGTTGTTAACAGTGTTGTTAATTAGCACCATTAACAGCGTTAACAGTTAACAGTGCTGTTTATGTTGATTAACAGAATAAACGGTGTTGTTAATGAATCATGAAAGCAATAGTAAAAAACAGTTATCATTAATCCGATGCTAAAGTGCTAGATCGACTAGAACATAGAACGTCTGCGAAAGGTCCATTGTAAAGCTCTGAAGAATTCGCAAACGGAATTGTACAGCACGGGTGAGGCACGTGACGTGAAATTTCCGGAGAAGCATTGGTTGAATGGGAGAAGGACCACTCTGGCGCTCAGTGCTGATGTTAATAGCAACAGAATCCGAGCATTCTATTCGAGAGCGCTGCTGACGAGTACATTATAGCATGTTGAAGCAGCGACCTCGGCCAGGATAGTCGCGGGGATGGAGCCAACGGGTGACAAAAATTAACACTTTTAGATAAAGCTCAAAGTTTTCTATCAGGTTTTTTACCCTAAGATCTAGATTTTCTTCGTTCAAAATCACATTCCAAATATGGCATTTGCATGCTACAAGCTTTTCATACATTTAACTTGCATGTTGAGGTAAAGCTCATATTATGCCATCATCACCTGATAATCTGGAAAATTGTAAACACTTCAAAACATTTCAGAAACTTCAAATATTTCACTGCAAGTGGCTAAATTAGTTAAAAGTAGGAAAGAGTGTCAAGCTCCCCAATGAGTGTCGAACGTGTGTCCCATCAATAAGATGTGTGGAAAAAGACCGTCCACAAGGCCCGCGCCGTCAGTACACTAAATCTTAACAAAATTACAGACAAAATACTGCATCCTGAAAGCTTGATGGTATATATATATATATATATATATATATATATATATATCATGCAGTTATGCTTATGTTTCGCAATCAAGGGAAAGCGTAATCTCAGTACTTTTGTGGCTGAGATCTACGACCCACCAATGTTTATCACAATCCCGCCTTAAGTCCGCGACTGTTATGCTTGCATTTTAGTTTGGATTGTGACACTTAAAAAGCAAGGTCTGATATGTGCATAAATAGATTGAATTAAACTGGGGCTTTTGTTTCATTAGCCCGTCCACAAAGCGCAGAATGATAAGAAAATTAGCGTTCAATTAGTGTTATTTTTGTGGGTCACATTTTAATTGGAACAATTACATGGGGAAACCATTTAACAACACTAAGCAGCTTTTATCACTAGGTAGCACTACCCTGGGGTTTACTATGAAACATTGAGCACCGTGCGTTATGAGTTGTAGATGTTTCATGGAGCAAACGATATTCGCCAGCGTGGCGCGACTACATCACATTCACGTGACATTCATCCTAGACGAGCCTGGCAGTGCAAGAGCTTAACCACGAGCGCAGTCTGAGCTTGTTAGCGCCAAACACTGCACTCAAACGGTCGGCACTGTTAGCCACAGAGGTGATGATATCCTCTAAACTTTGGATCGGCACATCCTGCGCATGCCATGACTGCAGTCTATGGGCGGCGTCTAGATCCCTTGAAGCTGATGCCCCGCCCAGCGATCCTGACAGCGACCTCTCCTCTCCTGACGCTCCTACTCCCACAGATGCTGACCGCGATCCCTCCCCTCCTGGCGTTCCTTTTCCCAAATATCCAGACAGCGACCCTCCCCTCCTAACGCTCCTACTCCCACAGATGCTGACCGCGATCCCACCCCTTCTGACGCTCCTCTTCCCAAATATCCAGAGAGCGATCCCTCCCCTCCTGACGCTCCTCCTCACACAGATCCTGACCACGATCCCTCCCCTCCTGACGCCCCTCCTCCCAAATATCCAGAGAGCGATCCCTCCCCTCCTGACGTTCCTACTTCCAATGATCCTGACCGCGATCCCTCCCCTTCTGACGCTCCTCCTCCCAAATATCCAGACAGCGATCCCTCCCCTCCTGGCGCTCCTACTCCCACAGATCCCGACCGCGGTCCCTCCCCTCCTGGCGCTCCTCCTCTCAAATATCCAGACAGCGATCACTCCCCTCCTCGCGCTCCTCCTCCCACAGATCCTGACCGCGATCCCTTCCCTCTGACCTTTCCCCCTCCCAGAGACCCTGACCGCCGCCTGGTCGGAGCAGGACGCCACCAGACTGCTGCGGTCGGAGCAGGACGTCACCAGACTGCTGCGGTCGGAGCAGGACGTCACCAGACTGCTGCGGTCGGAGCAGGACGTCACCAGACTGCTGCGGTCGGAGCAGGACGTCACCAGACTGCTGCGGTCGGAGCAGGACGTCACCAGACTGCTGCGGTCGGATGACGGCGGCTTCGACACCTTGGCCTCCGCGCTGGTATTTCGTGGGTTACAGAAGAGCCCGGTCTAGGCAGCGGCGCCCGAGCTTTGGAAAATGTCCCACTGACCCAAAGGTTTAGCGTGGTAAAGGTGATACATTCGGGAGTTGCTACTGAGCTTTCCTGCGTTTTACATCGTCACGCCTCCAGCGCTTCGGGATAATGCAGCGGCATCCCTCAGCGGCACCTCCGGGTGCGTGTGGTGTTCTTTTGCTACACGTTCTCCTCTCCCTCGTAATTCATCTTTAAAGCTGAGCATGTGACAGTGAAGTGCTGCATTACGGAAATACGTTAGGGGACCGTGGCAAATAGGAGCTAAACGTTAATAGCTCACTACTAATTGTTATACTAATTGTCTAAAATAATGCTTACTAATTGCAACAAAGAGAGCGAAAGCCTAAGAGAAGAAAGGGGTCAGGTTCATTGGGAAAAGACGTCGTACAACTTCTCACATGTGCAATTCAAAAACTAGTTTTGTGGTGACCCAATTTTCCCGATGATCACTGAGCATGTTTCCATGAATATGCTCTATCAGCACGATCCCTTGCATTGCCTATGTAGCACTTGTGCTGTAAGCTGAAGCTCCAAACTAAAATTTGGAGCACAGCTGGCACTGCATTTGACGACTCTGCGTGCTTGTAAAAAGCTTAGTGTGTCTGTAATTCAATGAAATAAACGAACGCATTCTGTAAGATGACGCTAATGATTACACCGGTGTACTGTGAGTAGGTGGTGTAAGTGCTTTGTAATTCGGTATGCCTCATTCTTGTACTCAGCAAAGCTTGGTTTGTGTTAAAAGTCGAAACATGATGCTGTTGCTAGTTTGACTCGTGCAATACTAACAAGCAGGCCATGATTAACGTGTAGTCAAAACGTGCTACTTGTGATAGTACTGTAATGTTATCCTATTTCATCACCTCCCCATCAGCATTAGTTTGTCGGCTCGCACTTTGTGGATGACGCTCGGGGTAAGGCTTCGGAGCCATACAGCATGATGACTAGCGAGGATGGAAGCGTGTTTTTGAAAAGGGCAGCCAACTTATATAAATGGTTGGGTGAAGTCGTGTCGAGAGCCCAACAACCTGATCTTACCCCAGCAGTTCTGTCCTGAACGGCTTTGGCCGCTGTATCCTAACGAAAAGCAATTGTAACGTTTTTTAAATGATCTGTTAAGTGGATCATTATTTCAACATTATGGCCAGCGGGCAGTGCCCAAGGAGCATGCAAGGGCATCGTGTGGTAGGTACTATTTTTCCATTTATGAAATATTCCGGCAAAAATATTGGGACACAGACAGACACTGGGGGGGGGGGGGGGGGGGGGGAATCAACGGTAGGAATGGGCGCGAGCCCTATAGAAGACCTCAAATCGACTCCCCCGACTTTAAGGCCGTTTTCGTTGCAACATCAACGTTTATTTGTCTCCGTAGGACCTCTTCCACTGCACCAAACAGATATATTCAGCAAAAATATAGTGCAGCGCGCTGTGACGTGCCGGATTCACTGAGAACGCCGCTCCGAGCGTACCCGGTAACACGAGCGCGGAGCCGGGCCGCTCAGCCCGACCCCCCAGATCGAGCTGAGCGGCCCCACACTGTCGCCGCCACCCCCTAAACCAACCTCCACCAGGCCCAAATCGCGCTCTAATCCCCACAAATGGCGGAAGCAAGTGGCTTAGCCGACGCGCCGCCTGTCCTTCGGTGGGAAAACGGGCCAGCTAAGCGAAACAACGCGCCAATCGGCCGATCAAATGGGCCGGCGCGAGCGGCGGCAAGGCGGCCCGGCCGGCCGGAATAGCGCCCATACCGGACACGGCCGGAGCGCCGTGCACTCGGAGCGGATTTCACGGGTATTTACGCCGGACACAGCCGCGGCCGATAGTCCGGCGAGAGCTGGCGCGGCCGCGCCGGCGGCGCGTGGCGCTCGTTGCCGGACGACCCGGTCCCCCGGCGGGTTATTACCGTCAGCCGCTGTCAGCCGGCGTGCATCGCATGATGGTATCATGGCCCGGCCAGCGTGTTTGCTACCGAAATGTAAACCCCGCGGGCTTGAGTAATGGCCGACCCCACCCAGCCAAACAGGTTGTCGGGCTCATCGTGGTGTAGTAATAGCCCTGATGGCCATCACCTCCCCTCCCTCCCCGCCCACCCCTCCCCACCGCCGACGACGCCGTCGCCGCCGCCGCTGCCGACGACGACGACGGCGATGACAAACACGCGCAGGGCGAAAATCTATTTCCTAATTAGTCGAGTCAAAATAACAAGGTAATCTGGGCCGAAACGAGCGGGTCGGCGGGCCGCCACATTCCGGGCGTGGTCCGGGAGCGGCGGCGGCCATCATGGCCGGGCGGCGGCGTCACCTGGCTGGCCGACGAGCCACGCGTCTGGCTGACCGGGCGCCCGCCGGCGGCGCGGCGCGAATGACGCTCTGCAGCGGCGTGGCGGAGCTCTAGCCACGGAGACACTGCAGAGCGCGCTCTGCAGGGGTGCAGCGGGAGCGGGGCAGCGATGCCGGCTTCCCGATCCTACTCCGAGTGTCCCCCGCGCTGAGTTTGGTGAGTGGGCGCCGAACGCGTCCAGCTGTGCGCAGTGTGCGATGGTCGCAGTGGTCAGTGGGGATGTGGAAGAAAACGGCCGAGTAGCATTTTTTTTTCTTGTGGGGTGCCGCGCCTGCGCCGTCTCCGCGCATGCGCAGCGGCGGGGAGGCCCGGGATGGCGCGTGGCGGAGTTGCTAATTGCAGGTATTACGCTGTGGAGAGGGGATAGCGGAGGGGTCACGCTGTGGAGAAAAGACGACTCTGAAAAGACAGGGGGGACGATGTTGAAGGCCAAGGTCAAGGTGGAGACCCCTATTCGGTCGTGGGGGGGGGGGGGGGGGGGGGGTGGATGGGAGTTGTTTGTTGCTCAGAGAATAGGGTGGGTCGAATCCGTTATTAGCCCATTTTTGTGTCATTTGGAGCTCGTTTTGACAATTTCCACTTCAGCCCCTCCCCCCCCCCGACTTATTGTGCCAAGCCACACCCCTGGCTAAAGGTGATTGTGGGAGAGACAGAGGTGACACTGAAGAGATGGGGACGGTGTCAGGAGGTCGAGGACGATGCTGTGGAGACAGGCAATATGCTGTGGAAGTCAGGAGTGACGATGAATGGATTGAGGCAGTGCTGCACACGCAAAGGCGGAGGTGATGCTTGGGAGATTAGTGACTGCGGCGGGGGGGGGGGGGAGGGGGTGACGCTGGGGCAAGGCGTGGCTTAGCAACGCAGGTGGAAATTGTTATCGATTTGGAGGGGCTCAAGCCACCGATGTTCTCGAACTTTACGTGAGCCCATGGTTCATCGGTGTGGTAAAAAAGGCATTACAATCTGTCCGTATGTGCCCCTTACAATCATTTTTGGGAATTGCAGCTGTTTTATGCAATTAACATGAAGATGATAGGATGAGTACGCATGTTGGGAGAAGATAAGGACGTCTGAACCAGAGCCCGTCTGCTCGGGCGTAGAGTTAGCGCACGCCCAACCTTAGTACCCCGACCCCGTCTCATGGGTGCAGCGCGTCTACACTCATGAAGCGGTTGATGTCATGTCAAACGGTGCTAATTGATGTAAAAAAAACGTCAATTGATGCCAATATTCGACGTTTTGGGATATTGGCCTATGGAAGGCGATTTATGAGTTTTGCCTAGCATTTGGATTGCGTTTGTCAATGATGATACCTAATATTTCAAACTTCCGAGGGCTGTGACGACCGAGATCAGAGGCCACATGGTGAGGTTCTGACCAATCGACTCAACGCTTCGTCTACGTGATCATGTACGACTGAGTTTATGCTTTGCCTTGTTCGTGAATTTCAAGCTTTGGCGTCAACGTTCGATATTTGCATGATCGAGGTCCAGAAAAACCGTACTGCACGAAGTTGCATCATGATGTGCATACCAGATAAATAAGGATGTGTGGACGCTGACGTATGCAAAAAAAAGCTGGGCACTAATCACGCAAAGTGTCTATTTTTTCATGGTACGATGCTGAATTACGATGTGCGAGGGCCGAATGTATCTCCAGTGCCCACATCTTGCTGTCGTATCTGTGTCTGATCTAGTCAGATTGGGCAATCCACTTGGGATCATCATGGACCCCCGTATCAAATGTGAGCAAGTTTTCGAGCTCCCAGTGCGAAACAGTATTGACGCTTTTCTGTTCTTTTTGAACTATCACGTTGAGCTTGGTGGGATTTCAGACACGGCCACGGAATTGCGATGCGGATCCGCTGCAATCGCTTCTGAATGATGATTGGTCCCTTCGACACTGTCAACAAAATGGTCGGAAGAGCGATCAGATTCCCGTCTGTCCGGCTTGGAGAACGGTAGCTATCCCAAGCCCGCCGTTGCGTCGCATGTAAATTTCGCTCCTCCTTTTTGCCGCCTCCGTTGATAGCATGAATACTTTTGCATGTTTACAGCACGGGGCCGCAAGAACGAAGATGCGTCGTGCAGTCTCTGCAAAACGACGACAAAAACGGTGCCCCTACGCTCCGCTGCACAGGCGCTGACAGCTGAGATCTGGTAATGCCGAAGCCCCCGGCACAAACACAGAATGAAATGTGTGGTTTATGTAAGTTACCTTAATAGTCACTGGCTGGGTCCTGCTTAGGAGTGGACCGACAGACGAAAGCAAACAGCGACGGATAGCAAGGTGTCGGCGTTCCCGTCACCGCTTGGCGAGGATGCGGTTACCGGCTGTGTTCCCTGCGACCCAGACGGTGACCCTGTGTGTGTTCGGGGCTGCATTTGAGCTTGGCGGCGACGCCCACCAGGCCGCTGGAGCGACGCTCCGCGGCTTGGCCCGGCCCTAGTCGGCCGGGTGTTCACGACCGACCGGTGATGATCCAGGCCAATATCAGCCGCCGGATCGCGTCCAGAGCCCGCCACCGGGACGCCGGGCCACACATAAATTCGGGGCAGGCATCACTAACCTCGAGCCGCGGCAATCGCTCTCGGTCCGACGGGGCCCTTTAAAACTGCCGGCCGACAGGTTTAGTGGCCGTCGGAGTGGTGGAGTATGGCACCCTTTAACCCGTTCGGCCCCGTCCGAGTGCTGCCGCGGAGGTCCGCAAGGGGTCAGGCCCTCTCCCGACCTTGTGACGGTCACCGTCACCAAGGTCAGCGGCCACCGCCGCCGCCTCACGCGTCCCGCACACGGCTCTCGTTCGATTGGTTGGACGATTGGGCTCAGCGCCTCTGTGACACTGAGGCAGGCTACGTGTAGTTCGTAGGGGGTGCCGTCCAGGGAGAACAGCTCCACATGTTCCCTCACAAAAATCACGTTTTCTTCGATCATGGAGTTGTTGCGGTTTGTGGTGCTTTTTCCATAGGATTTCTGGTGATTGGGGCTCCATACAGGGAGAGTCAAGGGAAAACGTGGGGAGAGGACAAAGGCAACCCAAGGATGTGCAAGCCTTTCATGGCACGACCCGTAACGAAAACTTTTCCTCATCGGATATCCCTGCAAAAACTCCATGCTGGGCCTTAATGTAGGGCGCGTCACTCAAACTATGAAGCAACCATATCACACCGAACACGCGCCTCGATCACCTACCCGTGGGATCATTAGGGCATCCAATTCCGAACGTTCGCGGTCTTCACCCCAAATGGAGTGCTGTTATCAAATCAATCGATTGGCTCTGTATTATTAACCGTGACAAAACTCATGACAGCAGAATTTGCGCCCAGCCAAAAATTAATGGGTTCCAAAGGCCATTTAAAAGCATCCACTCCGGGTCAGAGAGTTCAGACCAGTTCAAAGTTCGTTCTGGAAAGAGCGTCAGTGTCATTAACAAATTAGCAACAGCTCATTTGGTATGACAGCGTGTGTTAGTTTTCCATTGTCAAATTTGGCTCCTATATGCACAGTTGCAAATGCTTTATGAGAACTCTCTCGATACGCAAGCGGGAACAAATGACCTGCAATATAAACTGGTAGATACCGATCAACAGTCAGACATGAAATAATTGCATAGTCAAACGAATCAAAAGAATTTCGAGTATACATGATATGAAGTACTGCAGGAACTTAATCGTCTTTGTATATCCACACACGTTATGATAAGCAATAAGGGGCCTGCGAACACCAGGTTTCCCGAAGGCCACTCCCATGTGAAGCTCACGTGCCTTGCGTGGTCGGCACGGGGCATGTACTCAGGGCGTCACCAGCAACTGACCCCCGCAAGAGGGCGCCACCAGCAACTGACCCCCGCAAGAGGGCGCTATCTTGGTCGGTGATCAGATGACGCCTCGTCGGTCACTCGCCAGCATGCGGGGTAGATCCCCTCCCCACAGCGGGCTGGCCCCCCGCCTAGAGCAAGGGCTCCCCTCCATATAGGGAACACGTGGACGGTGGGCCAGCTCTCGCACAGCGTGTGCTATGAAGTGAAGGCCCGACCCGACAGCTGCTGCTTATGTCTGCGTTGGTCAGCTCAGCTTCCCGTGCGCAGTGCTCTGTCCCATTCAAAAGGCAGAGTCAGCATCAGGGATCGAGGAGCGAGCTCTGAAAACAGCATCAATCCATGCGCCGTGATTATAAATCAATAAACGGGGAAATCAAGCAAACTAGCTCAAATTAGAGCATTTTTATTGTCTTGGGGGCAGGCTCCAGCTTGATACCCCCAAGGGGGGATGGGAGTCGTGCTAGTTCCATTTAGCTCGGACCGCCGCTGCCAGGCTGACAACGATATAACTAGCATTCACGTAATACCTTACATCCAAGATACCGAGCAGCCCGTGTGCTCGGCGTTCGGGCAGAAAACCAACAATCAAACACCCTTCTCGGCAAATCTGCTACTTTCTTATATTCTTCACGCCATGTTTCCAGCAGCGCTTTCTTATATTCTTCACCCCTCTCCGTCACCGGCTAATGACGTGATGACGAGTCTGGTCCGTGGAGGGGGGGGGGGGGGCGAGTGGGGCGTGGCTCTGCCCTCGTCCGACGGCAGCACGTACACCGGTAACAATCCCTGGTGCGGCCCTGCATCAGCGGAGGGGCGGTGCTGCCGCGAAACCCTATCTGACGCCGCCGCTGTAAATAGCAATTTACCCCGGCGGCACATGTAAATCAACACCAATTAAGCATAAAAATGGCGAGAGCCGTGCCGTTTCGACCGGGGTAGGTGGCCAGTAATTGAATGTTTGGGGAAATAGGGAGCGTGTTATCATGGCCGGGACCTGTTGTTAGCGCCGCTAACGAAGATGATTGTGTTTCCAGCCGGCCCGGGCGCAAACGAGCGGAAGGGGCGAGCTGAATGGGGCCTCCACGCCGCAGGTAGCGCTCACCGGGGAGGGCAGCTCAAGTGTTTTCGGAATTTCGAGAGCGACGGCGCTCTGCGGCCGATCTGGGGCAAGGGCTTCCGCGTGGTGATGGATTGGGACGCGGTGAGGAGGTGCGAGGTGTCAGAATGGGTTCAGGTGGTTTCCAGTGTCCATGGGCGGGGGGGGGGGGCGATTAATTCAGCCGTTGACACAGCTGTTACATTTAGGGCAGCCGGATAAATTACGACGGATGTGATCCACGTAGCAGCAGCGCTTATATGGCACACGCGAAACGCCATCTGGTGGCCTCGGAGCGGGTCGTGGATGCTGTCAGCGGGTGATAGTGGGTCTCGTGCTTAAAGGAATGCTCCATATTGGAAGATATCGAAGCAGGCAACAGATATGATGAAACCAGCTCACTAATGACTTTAGTATGCTTTTAAGTGGAAAAGACTGCTCTAGACGACAAAATCTCTCCATTTAGTGAATATGCTCTTCAATGCGTCATTGTTTGATTGTGTCATGGACCGTTTGTATGACAGAACTCAGTCGTAGTGCTTCAATCTCCCGAGAGATGGCCGGCGCGGTGCTGGATGTGTGCTAAGCCAAGTATGGTCAGCTATTGGTGTTTAGCCCCTTTCTGATGGTGTTCTTGCATATATATCCGTGAGTTTAGGTGCTTTATTACATTCACTCACTCGAGCATGGTGTCGTTCTAAAGTTTTTTATTACAAGTTTCATTTCCGTATTAATTAAGGAAAATTTATAGCTTCTTGATTGTGCAACGCCAAA